TTATTCTGCATATACTAGATTCAACTAAACATGGCTTTTATAGGAAAGTATCCCTGTAAATAGTGTACTTTTGGTGGTGTGATGGTGGTGTGGTGGTGTAGGTATGTCCAGCAATTTGTGGGATTAGGAGGCAGCCCGCAGCACAAAATATTTAGCACGTTTCCAGAGATAGATACAAACTCACCTTAAAGTTTAGAGGCCACAGCTTGGCTCCATACACCGCCTCACTAATCTCTTGATACGTTTCATTGAACGTCAGTGACTTTTCCCCAAAGAGACGGTTAGCTGAGATCAGTTCTGATGATTTGTTGGCTTTCCTATATAATCGACAATTCAATTTTGCAAAGAAGAAGTGGATTTGATCAGAAGACTTGGTAGAAACTTGGTCAAAGTGGAAGACCTTCAACAGAGAGAAGATATCAATGTGCGCATGCTAAATAGGCCATGTGGATAGACCAATCATTTTGTATATGAAATATTTATTGACAACACTTTTCCATGGAATTACTTGATAAAACAAAACACAGGCCAAACCACAACATTACTACCTATACATATCTGTAACAATGGTATAGAATACTGAATGTAAAATATGTTAGAGAATTAGGATAAGAAACACTAACATATAGGAATTATCTATATACAGTATAAACATGTTTAATCTAATGGGACTTGAAGCCCTGAAGAAGGGGGGCCGTTTTAAACCCCAAAACACATATTTTTATGATAAAAGATTGTGAATTAAAATTAAATCTAGACTTTCTACATTCCATGTTCTAGTTCTGATCGTTTTCTTTTTGCACATCTAGTCCTTACTTGAGTTAAGAGCCAACCTTCGGCCACCTCTCCTGGGAGTTCCATTCCCTCTACACTGAGATCTGACTGGGAAAACCAACTGCACTACAGATGCAGTGCCCCACATCTTCCTTATACTTGAAGATTTTTGACATAACATCACACTTGCATCACACTACCTGGCTACAAAATTCCCTATCTAAGCAGAGACATAGTGCTGCTGTACCCTATATGAGCAGAGACATAGTGCTGCAGTACCCTATATGAGCAGAGACAAAGGCCTGCAATACCCTATATGAGCAGAGACATAGTGCTGCAGTACCCTATATGAGCAGAGGCATAGTGCTGCAGTACCCTATATGAGCAGAGACATAGTGCTGCAGTACCCTATATGAGCAGAGACAAAGGCCTGCAATACCCTATATGAGCAGAGACATAGTGCTGCAGTACCCTATATGAGCAGAGGCATAGTGCTGCAGTACCCTATATGAGCAGAGGCATAGTGATACGCTGTATGAGCAGAGGCATAGTGCTGCAGTACCCTATATGAGCAGAGGCATAGTGATACGCTGTATGAGCAGAGGCATAGTGCTGCAGTACCCTATATGAGCAGAGGCATAGTGCTACCCTATATGAGCAGAGGCATAGTGCTGCAGTGCCCTATATGAGCAGAGGCATAGTGCCGCAGTACATTTCTTGCTTAAACTGAGTCCATCAACTTTATTCAAGGTTTGTTAAGGAAACTTCTCAACATACTTTTTACTTAGATGTTCAGCTGCAGCACTTTTTCCACTCACCTGCATAAGCTCCTTTAATGTGTTGTCACATGACCCAAGCTTGGCCATGGTAAAAGCCTGGGAGATACTAAGAGGTGATATAAAAAGGTTGTCAGAGTTGGTCTTGGAGTCAGCCAGGACTTTGAAAAAGTCTATGGCAAACCTGGCGTTTGCTTTGGAAAGTTCCCAGACTCGAGGATTGGTACCTTCAGGAATCTTCTCTGGAGGAGAGTCTTCCTTCTGCTTCTCCTCTACTTCTGACACTTCCTTCCGATAGATGCACATAGGATTCAAAGGGATGTCTTTGGGTTTGGCAATACAGATGTCAAGATATTCGGTGCGGGAGGCAGGCAAGCCCACCAGAGAAAACAGTACAATTGGTAGCAAATACATATCTAAGAAAAGAGAAACTGGTCAGGGAAAAGATAGTAAAAGGTTGCCTGATATTACACTGCAGATTGTGGCAAGGTGGACAGCTCTAATAGCATTTACTTATATTAAAGTGGAACTTTCATGATAGAATTACATTTTAACAACAGAATCTACACCACTTGTTCAGCTTTCTAGTAACTATGTGTAAAAGAACAGCAACTATAACCAAGTTACATAGAAACTTAAAAGAGCAACAGCATACCAAGTAGCCCATTAAGTTCTCTTCCAGATGAGATGGTTAGATGAAATCACTCTTCTGTGTTCTTTTGTTCTATCACATACTTATTACAGGTACAAATGAGGTGGGATACAAACCTTTCAAAGTATGAAACCCAAAGGGTTAGCTATGAAAAGAGGATTCATCTATATTCTAAAGGTAGTTCCTAATGCATGAGAAGGTCTGTGGCTTCCACATCAGTAATCTAGTGTTTTCTTTGACAGCCATTATCAGTTGGTCTCCATTCACCTCTATGTCAGGTAGTCATTGTGTGCCTGATAAAGGGAAGTCTCCTGACAGCCAGTGGTGGATGGCCAGCCATAGTTGGAGTGGACAGCCATAGCTGGCATGATTGCGGATGTGATCACCACCTATTGAGGAGCAGCCTTAGAGTTCGGCCCAGAAACGTCCTTACTCATTGTTTCAACATCAATGCACAGTACAGATGATGACCTCTGAAAAGTGCTTACCATATCCTTGGCCTCAGATCTTCTTAGAGCCCCAGTATCACTGGGGAGCCGCTCACGAGCAGGAATAGAAGCTCAGCAATTTCTTGAATAGATCTCAATATATCGTTCATAAACATTAGTCTAACTATACATGTAAGAGATGGGTTTTTAGCAGGGGGGTTAGAAGGGGTTTTAACATGTGATTTGGAATAAGTCCTATGTTCATGTAAGAAACAGTGAGGGGAATTCATCAAAACTGGTGTAGACAAAATCTGGAGCAGTTGCCCATAGCAACCAATCAGCATCTCTCTTTCATTTTCAAGTCTTAACTGGACAGACTGAAGAGAGAAGCTGATTGGTTGCCATGGGCAACTGCTCCAGATTTTGTCTCTCGCCAGTTGTGATAAATTCCCCCCATTGTGCTTTTTTTAGTAAACATATCTGTCACCAGAACCATAATCAAGGAAGTGGATTTTTTGCGGCCATTATGCGATCTACAAAACTCTTCTTTTTTCAGGTGTGGTTTTCCCCCATAAAATAATAAAATCCTTGTGCTGAATACATTTCCAGTAACAGAAGCGTACGTTTGACATTAGCACAATCATGTTTAATTAATACACACTATTAGCAGAGAAAACCATTAGACACTCCAAAATATTCTTTTATACATAATTCCATGCAACCACCGAAGTGTCGTCCTTCTGCAATGGAAATGTATTGAAGAAATATTCACATATGTTTACCTGCGCATACATGAGCGTTTCATTCCTGACAAATACGTATGTTCTACAAAGTAAACCTCCACATACAAATAATACAGAGGCTGCCATTTCTGACCTCCTTCTTACAAATGCTAGACGTCTGGCAGTTATTTTGAACCACTGACTGTCTTCGTTGGGACCAGGAAAGATTATTTTTTCATCATAAAATGGAGTCGCACTTTAAAAAGGAAAATTATGAGGCGAGTGATTTTCACTCAGCCTCATAATCTGAGCCGACCTGTGACAATGAAACTGTCACAGGTCGGTTCAGTAGATCAGGAAGTGAGCGAACACATACCGGCGCTCGCTCACTTCTCGACCTATCCCTGCAGAGAGCCTTGACTGTCACTCACGGCTCCCTGCAGGGATTCCCCTCTCCCCTGTCCGATCCTCCAGCGCTGACTGGCGGAACGGACGGGGGAGGGCACAGCTGGCTCTGCCTCTGGATAGGTAAAGCCAGCTGTCAATCCTGCAGCTGGGTGGATCTCGACAGTAATGTCAGAATCTGTCCCGGCTGCAGCGGTCTCAGTATACTGCAAGCTGTAACTCGCGGTATACTGAGATTTGGGTCACGGGAGAACGCTAGTTTGTGTTCTCCCGTGACCAATGGGAGATATATGGGGAAAAGCCTTGACCCCATAGTTCTCCTTTAAGTTAAATGAACAGTCGTGCAGAATACATGTTTCTGGTACCTGCCAATAAATTGCTCAGTAGACTTTCTTGTATATTGTGACCAATCTGTCGAGCAGGAAAGATTGTTAATGTTAGAGGTAAGGTCATTGTAGAAAAGACCTTTCCCAAATAGGACTGACCTTAGAAATTGTGGCATGAACCGGTTACAACGCCTTACTGTACTGTAAAAATTACTGTGAGAGAATGTGTTCATTAAAACCAGTACAGAGCAAAACATAAGGAAGCTGCCATACTGCAATATTTTACAGAACAATTTTGGGCCAAACACTCGCAGAGAAGCTCCAGAGGGCCTGCTACACAGACACCTCTAAAAGGTAAGACTTTTTTAGGTGTTAATGGGAACACAAAACAAACATATGAGGTGTTTTCTCAAATTTGACTGCCATAGTGGAACTACGCTTTAAAATACTAAGGGAGCGTAACATCTTCATCAGGAAAGGTCAGCTATGGGCCCCTACGTTTTTTTGCCTATTTACAACAGTGCATTGTGGGAAAATATGTGCGTTACCAAAGTGCAGCATGAATGCTTTCTTGCGTTGCAATGCAGTGGAAACCGATGTCTCATTAATATGAAACTGGATACCTACTGACAAGTTACATTTTCCACCCACCATGTTTCTCTTATGGCAGGTCTCTTTTATATAACTTACCAGATGTTTTCCATAAAGAAACCATTAAAGTGGAACTATGGGCAAAGAAGACATATGATGCAATATGTCACTAGGATTAACGCCCCCCCCAACAGTTTTATTATCTATTGATCCTGCCACGTAGATCCATTAGACTTTCTTTATTAGATCGAGCTGACCAGCAAAAACATCAGTTACAGGGGTTGGTACACACCGTATAACACCAGTGAGGGAGCTTATACATTTGAACCTTTTTTTTCCCAAAAAGAAATTGAATTTAAGGTGTTTTTAAAACTACATGTCCATCTGTCCTATTCACAGGGCGGCAATGCTGCTGTGTGATTTCACTGCACAATCAACAACGTTGTCACCATTGCAAGAAGTAAAAAATAACAACTCTACTGGCAGTTTCAACAGGTAAAAACTATGTTACAAAGGGGACTCAGGAAATCAAAAACTGATATTTTTTTAATGCTAGTGAGACTACATTCAATGTTATTTCAATATTTTGCCCATAGCTTTACTTTATTGATGACTAAGAGAAGCCGGTATTTGTCCGTGACAATGGGCAATACTGCATGCAAGCATGAATCCAAGAGAGCATAGTCGCTGCCATTGCTGGTATAGCTGCCTGGTTTTCATGGTAACTCTCTTCCTTCAATATTCTGAATAACAACCTAGAACTAGTATACAGATAAGAACTTCTGACTTGTCTTACCTTTCCCAGTAACCGCACTCTGGTTTCTGGGTCTAATATAATGACCCACTGCCATTAACACGAAGCATTGAAGCCAGTGAGTCAGCATAAAAGCCAGGGCAACTGGCATTTTCAAGAGATGCCCACCAATGGCAGCCCCATATTTTTTACTTTAGGAAAGGTCAAGAAATATCAAAAGAGTTTCATAGATCACTGTAGGTCTATGCTGAAAAGGCATGATGGTCGAACAGACGTAAGGCTCTAGTCACAAAGCTTGAACACAAGAATAAGTAGATTATAGCCATGTGACTAAATCACATTGGACTCATCTAAAAATAATCGTCATTTATTTTTGTTTAAATCAGGCAGCCCTATCTTACTACATTAGCTTTTTGAATTGTGCCTATATTATGTGAAACTCAATTTAACACAAGGATACAATCTTACAGTCACATGACTGCAATTTATAATCTCATTGAATTCATCAAAAATTATTATTTTTTTTGTTAAAGGATGCCTCACCCTGTTGCGTGAGAGTTTTGTGAACTGAGTTTAAAGTGACACTAAACTCAGGAGTTAAATCTTAAAAATGCATTCAAGTAAATTTAACTATTAACAGCAATGTATCTTATTTGTGTATCACTCGGCTGTAGATCCACAAATCATCTCCGAATTGGAGCTGGTACTGTCCTTCCTTCTGGAGGGTGGCAACTGTTATTCCCCATGGTCCCTGTGTGCGTTGTAAAGTAGTCACCACTCCAAGCTCACTCCCGTGATGGACTACAATCTCAATACAAATTAGTAAACTAAACGTGAGATTGTAGTCCATCACAGGAGTGAGCTTGGAGCGGAGACTACTTTACAACACACACAGGGATCATGGGGAACAAAAGTAACCACCCTCCAGAAGGAAGGACAATGTCAGCATGGATTGAGAGATGATTTGAAGATCTATAGCCGAGTGATACACAAATAGGATACATTTTTGTACAGTTAAGGTGCTTGAATATATTTTTAAGATTTAACTCCTGAGTTTAGTGTCACTTTAAGGAATGCTATTGTTCTGGATGAACATTTCCCTCTATAGCCGCAACAGTAAAGCTATGGTATTCTTTTTAAAATATCATCTGCTTACCTGCGTATAGCTCTGCTCTTCAATGCTTCTCTTTGTACAGCAGGAGAAAAAACAGGCAGTACTGAACGTCCCACTCCACAGGATCAAGATGAACAAGGACACAGGGTGAAAGGTGGATGACCAGGCAGTTGAAATCGTAATCAAAGAGTTGCTTTGTTTGCAATAGGTGGGTCTTCATTTTAACTATCAGGTTACTAGTAGATAACACACTAATCAAGGCACAAATATCTCCCTAAAACATGTCCCGCTGTCTATCACATTCTGCAATACTCAAATGACTAAAGTTGGTCAATGACATTGGAGGACAGTCGTAAGTACAGGTATGTTCCAACTGCTGAAAGAGGTCACTTCAAAGCTCCCTTCATAAACATGCACCTTTG